GAAAGTTGTAAGTGAACTGAATTGGGCTGACTTCCAGGGTTCCAGACTTGGGAAACTGGGCAATGATGGGGCCAAACTCACTGAGAAACAGCAGGGGCAGGCTGGTGTGGAGAAGGTAATGGAACAGTTCTGTGCATGGTGATTTTGAGCTATTTGTGACACGGAACAGATACTCATTATTCTTTAAATATGTGAATTCCTTTCTCTTTCAAAAAGAAAAGAAATGACTATTTCCGAATGTATAAGACCCATAAAGAAAGAGTGCTAAGGTCTTTTGAATGGTGTCATGTATCTATTAGAAATTAAGATCATAAAGCCTCAGTTTTCATTCAAAGTTGACCTCTACCAAAAATTAAAGGCATGCATTGTTACTCAGGTCCTGATGCTGTGTTATACACATTGGGTTAGACCTCCTTGTCTTGACTCTTTGAATCATAGCTGTTTCCTAGATCCTCTGGACTTGGTGTCTATACCAGCATCTATAAGGTGGATTAGCACCCACAACACCCAATGCACAGGCCTTCTACCTAGCCTCAATCAGCCTCTCCTGTGTCTCTACCAAGACCCTGCACTCCGATAGTCATTTGACTGGTTTCCAACAGTGATCCAGATACTGCCGCTGGACATTCATAGGCCATTGCTTCATGTGGTTGGAAGTGATTCTTTCTGAAGTCATGCTCATTAACTACATTAGTACTCTCAAAATATATTATTGTTCTCCTCCCCTAACTTCAGTGAGACACCTAATTCAGTGCTTAGTGCATGAAAAGGACTCAGTGTTTTTTGAATAAAAGAATAGATAAATATATTAAATGGAGGCCATCAAAAAACCCTCTTATTGCTCTATCAATGTACCTTATGCTCACACATGTGATTTCTTAATTGTCCCCATGCCCGTGATGCATATGCCTCATCTAGTGATGAACACAAATGTAGTGGTGAACACAATTTTCACTAACAACAGACTGGAAATAGCCAAAGCCACTAAATATCTGTAGCCTTAGAGCTCCACATCCATGTGTCAAAAGAGAAGCAGATGGGTCAACCTCCTTTGTGACACAACTTCCCAAAAGTACTAAAATAATGATTCATTTTACAGACATGAAAAACACAGCAGGAAATGGAATAACACAATTTTAATTAGAAACATTCAGATTTACTCTTAATTTAATTCAGCTGCCCAACAGCCATGGTTAGATTTGCATCATGATGTATTTTCGATACTATCTATTTTCATAAATGTAAACTTTCCTGAATATGGTTCTGATGGATCCTGACATTTTAAAATATGTCCTATTGTCCTTTTCTGTGCAGTAGACCAAGCATAGAGTGTTCACTCCTATATCATTGTCACCGTACTATCAGACCAGATGGCTACTTCATCACAGAATCAAGAATTAGGAATAATTTATGCTGTTCCTTGCTCTAGAATATGAAAATAGAAAGCATTTGCTGCACACATACTCATGAGGAGCAGCTTGAACCAACCCTAACAGCCTCATCGGAGGACATTTGGTGCTGTGGCTGCACCGTCTACAGAAATTGGATTTCATTCTATGGAGCCCTAAGCTCTCAGGTCATGGAGAAAATTATTGAAGCACGTGAGTCGATGCTTCACCTAGTAATCAAATTAAGCCCAGAGAGCCTCTTTGTTGAGGAAAACAAGTTGCAATAAAACAGTTCTAAAATGGGAAAGATTATATCTGAACCTTTCATTGTTTCATATTCAAGGATTTCTCCCCTTCATAGGAAAAAAATTATGAATGTTGGCTTAATATTCAGAGCAGTTGTTTTTGTGTCTGTGAACATTAAATGTTAGAAACGGAAGAGCTATTTATCTTCAGCTGGCTGAAGAGAACAGTGGAAATTTCTCTTTATTGGTCTATAAATAAGCAAAGTCTGAACACACCCTTTATTGGGAGGGGAGCCACGGCAACTCATTCCACATATCAACTGGCTTGGCAGGATTTCTGTATTTGATATGGTCATAAGCATGCAGCTAATGACATAGACAAAAGGTTGTCCTCTCACACTATCAAATGTATTTAGCCCTAGGACCAACTAGTATTCCCCAGAAACTAGTATTTCCTTAGAAAGAAAAATGCATGTAAAATCATAAACATTTCTAACAGGTGTTATTGTTGAGAAAAAGCTAGAGGAATCAATGATGTATCATTTAACAAGATCAAGTGAATGGTGGTTAGTTTCTTTATAAAATCATTTATTAACAAAGAAATGTGACATACTTGGACTTTGTTTACATAGTGCCAGAAAAAGCTGGTTAATTCAGTAAAAAAACAAGCAAACAAAACCTCCCCAAAATATCAGTTAAGATGCCTATTTGAATTCTACAAACCAGAGATCGGCTGCATTAATTTTTTATTTATCAGTTATCTGTGGTTGTGAACATGTAGGAAAGCCATTGAAAATGTCTCAACTAAATGGGCAATATAATCTGTTCTTCCTATGTGAATCTGTTTAATTTGTTCATGTATATTAACTTTTTCAGATTAGATAGCCCACAAAAGCAGACAGCTGCACTAGAAGAATTTAGTTATGTAGGCAAAATTAAAAGGCTATCAGTGTGAAAAGTGAGAACTGACAGAAAGCCTAACAAATTGGAAAGAATAACAGGCAGCTAGCAAGAATCATGTTCCCTTTCCAAGAAAGGAACTCTGCCTGTTCCCTGTACGTGATTTGAGGCTTATACTCATATTAATGATAATACCTCTTCCATCAATATCTTGGATTATTACCAGTGTCTGGGAGAAATTTTATTGGCTGCCGCAGTTCATTGAAAATTAATTGATATGACACACTTACTCTACATGAACTTGGAAAAAAGTCTATGGAGTGAGTGATTTAATTCATTTTATGTTAATTATAAATTATGCCAGGAAACACTATTACGGATGGCCTTGTTTCCAGCTCACATTGCATGTGTGAGCAGTTTGTACTTCCGACATGCTGAATACCCTGACTTTGACTGACGAACACCTTAGGAAAGGCATTCATTTGGCATTCTCACTAATATTTGCAATGTGGCATGTCCTTAAACAAATTAGGCCAGGAGGAGGCAGCAAAATGGCCCACTTATCTTTATTTGTAATTTAACCAACATTATGGGAGACAACATCAAAATTGGGCAATTTAAAACTTTTACTTGCTTTCTGTATATATGTAAATAATCTCCTGAGTGTTTCAGAAAACTGAAAAGGAAGAGGGGTTGGGGTAGGGTGGGGAGCGGCTGCCAAATCAAGCGGAAAATGCAAGATGACTTTAGAAAGAGAATATAGAGTTGCTGGTTGCACATTAAGGCGGTATGCTGAAGAACTCTTTATTTTCATTTCCTGTTTGATAGTGCTGATGAGTAGATTCCTCTCTATTCTCCTCTCGGTGAGCGCACACTAGTACTTTTATTAAAAGGAGTCCATCAGAATGGGGTAGTTGTTATGCAGGAGCAGTAGCTCACATAATGGGGGATGGCATTTCTTTCCACTCGTGCTGGTCCGCTGGTTCTAATAGCAACCTGGAGCTCAATTTCCTCCTCAAGAACATTGCATTTCATGTGGAATGTCAATTATTAAAATGCAGTGTCCCGTGTCTTACTTCTCAGTAGATGAATTCATTTGCAAAACTTGCTAATTTATGCAAATGATCCTTAACCTGTAACTGCCTGGAACCTATTTCAGCATTTCTAGCGTTTGGCGGCTCGGAGCCTAGATGCAGGAAGGAAATCCATTAATGCAGAATTTGTCAGTCTGTCATCATTATATTGGTTATTGAGTTGTTTAAAAAAAAAAAAACAAAAACACTAACAACAGATAAAAATGTGTTATTAAGTGGAAGCTAACCGACAGCGAGAGCTGAAAAATCTAGAGATTAAATTAAAGATAAACCAGGATGAAAGGATCTGATACCTGCATCTCCTGACACCCCTGAGTAATGTTAGATGCTAATGACCTCTTTTCTGGAAGAAACTAACTGGTTAATAACCCAAAGAGGGTCTATCAGCTACTGACTAAGACAGATCCAGATAGTGAGCAGATAAGAAATTTCTTATTGGAAATAAAAGCCAAATTGGCCTGGGTTTCCGTAAATGCAAAGCACAAAAGGAAATATACACAGTTTTTGTTTTTATTTTTTAGTCATGGTTACATGAAAGATGAGGTAGCAAAAAAATGGATGCTGTCAGGAAGGGGGTTGCTGTGTGTGCATGCATGCACGCATGTGTACTTGTGCTTGTGTGTGAGAGCGTGAGGTGGTACAAGAGGGCCCGCTGGTACTTCTGTGTCTGAATGTGTGTTCCCACAAGTACCTCGTACATCACATATCTTGCAGATTCCCTTTGAATCAATTGAGTTTTGTACGTCAATGGGGCTGTATTTTAATCAACAGTTTGGAAAAGACATACAATTTTTAACCCCTGTAGCCCTCATGTACTGTGACACAGTCTCTTTTCATGAACCATGTTGAGAAAGGGCTTTCTGCAAACCTCAGAGCTGCAGGTCAGGAGGATTCAGATTTCTGGCCTGTCTTCTGCATCCATTGGACCTAGATCTATTGTTTTTATTCCGTGTTCTTCATTCTAGCAAGTTTACAAAGGCCAACGAGCAGGCTGATTTAGATTTAAATTAGCCAGGGAGGCTTGACAAGGGAAGCAGAGTGTGTGTGTATGTATGTGTGTGTGTGTGTGTGTGTGTGATGCACACGTGAGCTCTAGTCTGGACACTCAGCCTGGGCCATCAATGCAGACTCTATCAAGCAGCCCCTTTGGTCTACTGCACCGCACTGGCCACTGGTCACTGTTTTGGGGGATTTCCTTTGTTCAGCTGAGCATGGCCTCTGACTTACCTGAATCCATGCTGCACATACACTGTTACAAGCTGCCCTCATAACCTGATCTTCTGGCTGCTGTATTTTTGTATTTTTTTTTTCTTTCAAGTGTACCAATAGTTGCAAAGCAGGTAGGGGCATTTGTTGTGGATATTGGGATGAATTCTTTCAACTCCTCAATGGATTCCAATGAAAGAGGAAAAAAAGAATCTGCCCTTAGTAAAATGGACAATTGACACTTCAAGGAATCTGTCCAAGGTCTGGGAGATCATAAGAGAGTACATATTTAATGGCTCACTTTGCTTCTATTTCTTTCAGAACTGTGTCCCTTTAAATCTACTGAGGAAGATATTCCTTCTGGCCCACAGGATGCCAAAATGACTTAGTGATTTATTTATGCAGCACTTGGCAGCCTATAGTCCAGATTGTGGCTGAAGCTGAATTTTATGAGCCTTCCCCTAGTAAGTATATTTTAAAATTATATTAAAAATATATTTTTTGAAAACCTCAGTCATGTTTGGCCCAGCCTCGGGCCGTGAGAACGATGGTGATAGGACTAAGGAATTAATATTACTAAGGACCTGGCTGGTGAAATTTTTATTGTGAGAGCTTAGAAGAGTGTTAAGCTTTCATTTGGGGAAGGAAAAAAATTGTATTCAAACGTAAATGTTTTAGTGATATCAAATATGACCTTTCCTATTTGTAGCAATTCATCTGGTCCCTCAACAGCTATTTATTGGGCTTCTCACTATGTTCCAGGAAGTATTCGAAACCCAGGGGATTGTGGTGAAAAAGACAAACACTGCCCCGTCTCGTCCGGAACAGACATTTCAGAGGAGGGAGATGGATGATAAATAGGTAAGTAAATACTGTAGTTGAACAGAATGGTTTCAAATCACAATAACAATAAGTCCCATGTAATAAACACACAGACTGCGTCACAGGACTTTGAGCTGAGAACCCCCTGAGGTGCAGTGACTTTCCATGTTTGCCTGAAAGGATAGCTTCTTTAATGTTAAATCAGAAAAGCAGGCTGGGCACAGTGGTTCATGCCTGCAATCTCAGCACTTTGGGAGGCTGAGGCGGGAGGATTGCTTGAAGCCAGGAGTTGGAGACCAGCCTGGGCAACAAAGGCAGATACTGTCTTTACAAAAAATTTTAAAAATAGCCAGGAGCGGTGGTGCGTGCCTGTAGTCCCTGAGGTGGGGTGGGAAGTCACAGGGGGCACAGGCATGGGAAGGAGGATGGCTTGTGCCCAGGAGTTCAAGGCTGCAATGAACTAGGATCCTACTACTGTACGCCAGCCTGAGCGACAAAGCGAGACCCTGTGTAAATAAAAAAGAAAAGAAGACGGTCTAACAAAACAATTACCTGGACAATTTTACTTCTTTTAAAACCCAAGCCAAAAAGAAAATGTGTTGTGAAGCTCAAATGAAAGGGTTTAGACCAAGAGATGAGTTGATACCAAGGTGGTCAGGCAATGTAGTTCCTTCCAGAAGCAGCCTGTAGTTTGGCATCGTGGGTTTAAACTTTACAGGATCAGTGATTAATTGTTGTAAGGAGGCCCAAGTTTACAAAGTCTGAAATAAGGCCACAGGGGCAGGGTTTTCACTGATGGGTCATAAAAAATGACACAGCAAGGATAAGAACTTAAAATCCTGGGCAGTCTTCATTGAGAATTCTTCATAGTAATACCTCATATTTGCACACCACTTTATGTTTTTCTTTTAAGTACAGTTCACATTTTTATGGCCTTTGATTTCCACATCAATCCTGTAAGTTATTGCAATCCGCATGTTAGATGAAAGAACTATGTCTTGGAAGAGATATACAGCTTTACAATGGTAAAACTGGCCTCTTTACCATAGTCAGCTATTCACTCAAAAATGCAGATGTGATACCTCACAATTTTAAAGGAATAATTCTTTGTGATTGCATTGCACTCAGCTTCTGTAGCCAGTTGAAAGTGAAAACCTCTGGTAGTCCATAATTTTGTTCCAAGTTTTACCCCATTTTTATGTGGATTTTTTAAACTGAAGTTCGGCTTTCAAAATACAAAAACAACTACTTAAATAAGTAAATGGCCATGGCAGATGCTTCACGTGGTCCTATCTCCCAAAAAAGCTGCTTAAAACTATGGCTTGCTGTGGAGTCAAGTAGACAAGGATTCAAATTCAAAGACATAGTCTGGCTTTTATTGCTGACAGTGAGATACATTTTCCTTAATACTAAAACTGAAGGTGAAAAGGAGGCCTGCAATTGTGACTAAGTCAAGGCCAGAGGACATCAAGGGCCTTGTCATTACTGTTAAAAACCACAAGCAAGAACAATCACCATAATCTAGACCTTTGCTGAAGAATTGCTGGCCGAGGAACAAAAAATTAATAATTCAAATTAAACTCACTTAAATCATTTTACTATCCCTTTTGGTAAACAAAGACCTTTTCTTAAAATGTAAAATTTTAAGAAATTTATCCTTTTTAATGGAAAAGATGTAATTATTACCATGTAACATTGATTGAATGTCAAAAGCATTTAATTTATTGGGTACTAGTAATACAGAAAGATGGTACATAGAAAGTGAAATTAGACACTTTCCGTAAGTGTCTAGTCATAATTCAACAGATAGACACAACTTAACACTCCTTGGCTAACATGAATCTATCATCAGTAAACTTTCTAGTGATTACCTTTTTTAAAAAATTTCATATTGTATAATTTATTCACAATGTATCAATGCCCAAGTCTTTTGAGTAAGATTGCTTTCTGAGAGAGTTACGTGTGTGTTATTGTGTGTTTCATTGAAGTTACTTAAGCATAAATTTGAGCTACAGTTACGGTTATTTTGTAGTACAAAAGCGTTGGGGCAGAGGTTCCATCTAGTACGTGTCCCTTTCTGTCCCATACACAGCCACATGCTATGCTGAACCAACTTGTAGGGTAAACTTGGGTGTGGTCAAACCTCCTACTCTTGAGAATGTGGAAGAATCCTTCCTGCTCTACTTCAGTCAAGGCTCAAGGTGCCCCTTCAGGGTGATGAGAGAGTCTGGACCCCATGTATGCCATGGCTGACACTCGGAAGCAGTTTTGGATGGGCAGGTTCATCTAATTTCAGATGAGGGCTCCTTAATTCACAGAATGTCTGGATCTCCTGGGGCTTTATAAGAGCTAATCTCATCCAGTGCCAAAGCCCTTTGGGTTTTTTTCCTACTGTTTGAGACTATACGTCATTAGTCTTATCCTCTTCTATGTGTTGTTTCTTTGGTTATTCTAGAAGATCCCAAGTAAAAGCTCCAGGCGGCAGTCAGGAGTTCTAAGCAGGTGATAGTCATAGTATTGATGGAAAGGGCTGGCTTTGGGATCAGTTAGATCTGGATTTGAATCTCAGCCTTACCACTTCCTGTGTGAACTTGGGCAATTATTACACTCTTCTTTGAGGGTCAATTTCCTTACTTGTAAATAGGAATAATTATGTCAACTTTATAGGACATTGTGAGGATTAAATGAGGAAAAATAAAAACCAGCACACAGCATCTCCTAAGTGCTCAAAACTGCAAGCTCTCTTACCTCTTCACTCTTGAGGACCTTGCCTTCTAAATATATCTCCGTCTCATACATCACTTCAAGTCACAGGTACGCAAGTGGTTTTAATGACTCAGTTTCATCTGCCGCATATTTTGTCTAAAATGTCTAAGTACTTCACTGGTAACAGTAAAGCCTTCCTCTAATGCCATCCTTGAATTTCTTGCTCTAGAGCCGTTGTATAAATGGAGAAGTATAGAACAGTATTAACTCCCCTCCAATAGGGTTTAAGTTAAATTCACCCACCTTATCCTGTGGCATATGGTGTAATGGGGGATGGGCCTCCATATATTACCCTCTAAGGTGAGATTCAATTCCATTTTGCAGTTAAGACTTGATTAGGATCTTTGGCATGCTAAAGCCACAGTTCAAAAAGTAAAAATCTTGGGCTGACAGTTGCAGAGGATTGTTGTTAATACCATGGAAAATAATCAAGTTTATTTAACTAATTCATTATTTTCCCATCAAGGGCAGCCTTGTCACTTTCAGAGGGAGGGATTTGGTCCCTTTTAATTAATGTGATTTCGTAGAGGCAGGATTCTGAATAGACTCTGTGATTCCTATAGCACATCCTATTTTACTAACAGCTATCTAGACAGGATCAGTGTTGTTACTTCAAGAGTTATACAATGGAATAGGGGGGAGTTATAGGTAATCCCTTCTTCTGAACTAGCTTGAAATAAAAATTAAATGGGCCTTGAGCATTTGTGAATTGCAGTGTTTCACTGGGGCCATGGAACACTAAGTGAGGCTCAGAAACAGGGTGTTAATTCAGGCCTAATCATTTAATTCCACTCTGTTATGTGCTGTATTTATTGCCCTCCTGGATCTGTTTTCTATGGCCTGATAAAGAGACAGTGATTCTCCAAAGCTCAGTCAGGGACCATTTTATTTATATCGTTAGTTGGTCCAATAAAAGCACTGGCTTCAGATTCCCGCTGTTATTTTCTGTTTTGTAGCCCTGTCATTAACTATGAATATGCTGATGGGGTTTTCATCTCCTAGGCTGGAGTCTCTTGAGTTAAATGGGGACTTGTAAGAAAAGGGGAAGGTCAGGACTAGATGGACTGTAGAAAAGTTAAGTTTGGTGTAACCAGATGTAAAGTGACTGGGAGGCAACTCGGGTTTTAGGAGCAAATACAAACCTTTCATTACGACATGTGTTAGTGTGCTGAAAACTTGATTGACACTTTCAGAACAAACTTAGGGCTTTTAAGATGTGATTCTGTTTGTGAACCAGACATGTTTCAGAGTTTTTAAAAGTCAAATCTTTCTGCAACTCTCCACAAAGTGAAAACTGCTCTAATTTTGCACAGAAGGTAATATAATATAGCTCTAAAATTGTTTATATATGTCAAGCAAAGATAAGATGAAAAACAACAACAAACATCGATAGGATCACACTTCAGATCCTCTTTTTTTGAAAATAGCTTTTACTGTATACTTTTATTGTTTAGCCAACAATCTCTAAAGTGTTACAGAGGGTTCCAGAATAAGAAAATGATGGTGGGAAACAGATTTATAGAGGTCACTTGAATTAATAATATGGCAATCAGAAGATAACACAGGTGCATTAACATAACACACTGTGTAATTACTAGTGTTTCCAATGGAGTTAATGGGTAGTTATCCATGTAATAATAGACATTATTTCATAGCAGATATGCAATTAGCTCATCTCATTGGTGTGTAGAGCACAAATGAAGCAAATCATCATTATTGTTTCAACACTAAAAGGTGAGGACATTTTGAGGACTGATGGGCCTCTTTATCAGATATACTATTCATATTTTTAAGACTGTCTAAAGCACATATTCAGCAAGTAGAGGTGTGAGAAACATTCAGCAACTAAATGTGAGAAATGTTAACAGTCAGTAGCTTCCATACCTATGCTGGTATTTAAATGTTGGGAGCAATTAGCATGGTAGAAAGTTGTACTGGGGGATGTGGTTGAAATTGCTTGAGCAAATTTGCATGGAAGTATACATCAATAACCAAAGTTATCATATTCTCATTGAAAGATAAGAAATGAATATTCATTCATTTTACCAACAAAGATCTGTTGACCACTTTCTATAGGAGATAAACAGCTAACAATTAAAGTCATGCCTCCATTCTAACTCTCCTAAGTACAGTGAGGTGTATCTTTGAATTGCAGGGGCTGGAGGGACTGTGCTATATATGAGGACATCACTTAGTACTTCAGCATTTATGGGTCAGGGCAGGCGCAGTGGCTTACTCCTGTAATCCCAGCACTTTGGGAGGCAAGACGGACG